GGGGGCTGAAGTACGTATCCCGCTCACTACGAACAATGTCGTGGCCATAATCAAGCGCACAATTTGCGTGTTGATGGGCCCGAAGCACTCGAACAAACCTGGAGTTTATTCTGAGTTGCCGATCGAAGGCCGCTCCAAAAGACTACCGTGAAGATTGCCTACAAGGGAGAACTTCGAACACCGTTGGTGTGCTGGGGTGGTTGGGGTTGGGTGGTGTGTGTGTATGTGTGTGTGTGTGTGTGTGTGTGTGTGTGTGTGTGTGTGTGTGTGTGTGTGTGTGATGGGTCCAGTACTCCAAGCGATGGCAGTTGAACCATATCACTGCCCACTTAGCAACACTTACCAATGATTGTTTCGAATTAGTCTTATTTATGTCGCTCCAACATTAATTCCGGCTTTGTTACAAAAAGTGAACAATCAAAAGGTTGACTTTTAACGAAATGTGTATTTACCCCATTTACAGAAACGAAAAAGTTATACCCACATGAACAGATCCGTCAATGCCCGCGTCCGCTGTCTGGTCAGGATGCCGCAGTACAGAGTGATGTTCCTTGCATGAGGTAAGATAAAAAAGGAGTGGGGGTGCGCTAGGATATGTTTTTTTTTTTTTTTTTTTTTTTTTTTTTTTTTTTTTTTTAGAGAAAACAACCCGAGTGAATGTTAGGGTTGCTGATAAGAGCAGACACCACTAGCATGCTCGAGGAGGCTCCGTCTAGTCTCTTATACACATCTAGATGTGTATAAGAGACAGGTCTATTGGTGGGGAGCGACACCTGCTGGAAATCGGGGCCAGCATCCCTCAACAGTTATAACCAGGTGTTCCGTATTCCACTCGAAATCATGTCAATATGCCACGTGTCCATCCCACAGAATGCGTATGCAATTAACCGAAGCAACACGTTGGCACACTCTAGCATATGATGAGCAGCATTGATTGCCTTCAAACGAGGGGATTAACTGCTCATCATGGTTAAAAAAAAGCTCCAGGACCTATTTCGAAAACCTCATCGTCCGCTTAACAAAACGTTCGCAGCACGGTGAAAGGAAGAGGTAACCAGAACAGAAAGTTAGATGAACTTATTGTGGATAATTCCGAAATCATCACGAGGTTTAGCTCTTACAACTTATCCGGAAATCACCATATCCCTCCAGGATCCCCCTGCAGTCTTCATGATCATTGGTTCACGTCACACAGTTTGAGAGGGGACGAGTATTCGAAGAGGGGACGTACAATTTACCATTTCAAAATTCTCTATTACCTCAGTGCGAAAAAACACAGGACCGACGATGAAAGTAACACCACAAATTCCCCACTGAAATTACACATCTCACGCGGAAGGAGAGCAAAAACTCCCCCAAATCCTATGGTTGTACCTTACCTACCACGTGGGTAATCCCAAATTTCACTAAACGCTTTAGGTCACGTAACTCACCCAGTTGGATCAATCGAAACACGAACCAGCCCCCTACGAACCAACCCCCCTGCTCATATGCAAAATCGATGGAACTTTATTTAGATTCTAAATCGAAATCGCACTATCACAGAGCAGAGCAGCAATCAATCCCTCCATCGCACCTTTTCAGCTGCATAACAAAACCATCATTGTAAAAAGCCGCAAAAGGGTCCAGATCACGAGTAACACTCAAAACAGAACGATAAAAGCATACTCCCGCTGTCATGCATACCCCGCGGCGCCGCTCCAATCATCCACCACCCTTTCTCTCCCCTACTGCTCCCTCCGTAAAGACTCTACCCCACCCTAGAACCCTCCCCCCTATCCCCACCTGGATCCCATGAGAAAAGCTGTATGCTATTCCGCGCAGTCGGGGAGCCCCAAATCATCATAAGCATGCCCAAAGATGACCCCACCCCCGCAAGCTCGCCTTTCTCAAATACAACAAAGGTCATACCCCCGTCAAATTCAATGTTATCACCTTCATTGCTAACACCCCTATTGTCTTGGAAACATGCACGAAGCTCACCTTCTTCGCTGGTGTTATAGTGGTTGTTGGTGTTGTTGTTGTTGCCGTAATCGTTATCACTGGTATTGTTATCGTTGCCACCAGCGCTGACATTGTCATCACTATTTTGATTGTTGTTGACGACACCAGCGGAAGCGACGTCACTAGAACAACGATAATTGCTGCTTTTGTTATTGTTATTGTTGTCGCGGTTGTTGTTATTATAACAGACAACACCGCGAATGAAATCACCGATGTCTTTGCTGTCATCAATGTTGTTGGCGAGGACGGTAGTGCAAGTAAGATCGCCGTTGTCCATACTATCTATGTCGACGACGTCGTCAGCAACGGAGTTGATGTCATCCTCGTAACAACGGTCTTCCTGCTCAGCACATAGATCTTGCCCCTCCTCAAGATCTTCATAGAAGTTCCGCATCAAACTGCCCAATCGTGGTCCATCTATGAGCGCACGAAGATGAGGGGGCGGCACCTCCTCCAACCCCCATGCAGTCTCCAATAACTGCTCCTGCACACTCCGGGTCCACGGAATTGATGGCACTGTCGTTTCTGCAGTCACCGCTTTCAACTTCGCCACTTCATAGCACACCCGTTTTTTGCCCACTTGGACGATGGTAAGCCACTCATTGGCTTCTAACTCGCCCAAACTCGCCATCGAAGATATCAGAAGCTGCCACCACTATCACAATCTATCAACAATTCCACAGCTGGCATCACCCCTGCCCGTGCGTCGCGGAACACCCAATTCCAATAATAGTCGCCACGTGGCAACCAAGCCGCCACCCACGTCTGCTGGGCGCACGTCCAGGCCTAACAGCCGAGGGGCYCCCCCCCCCCCCTGGCGCTAGTCGAGTCGGCAGACAAAGCCTTGCCGGTCTGGCGGCATCGGAGCGCTAGCGCTAGCTCATGCCAATATGCCACGTGTTCATCCCACAGAATGCGTACGTAATCAACCGAAGCAACACGCTGACACACTCTAGCATCTGATGAGCAGCATTGATTGCCCTCAAACGAGGGGATTAACTGCTCATCATGGTTAAAAAAAAGCTCCTATTCCAAAACCCTCATCGTCCGCTTAACAAAACGTTCGCAGCACGGTGAAAGGAAGAGGTAACCAGAACAGGAAGTTAGATGAACTTATTGTGGATAATTCCTAAATCATCACGAGGTTTAACTCTCACAACTTATCCGGAAATCACCATATCCCCCCACAATCCCCCCACAATTTTCATGATCATTGTATCAAGAATGGTGGTAGGATGGGAGTCTCGGGAGTATGTAAAACAAAACAAAAAAAAAGAGTTCGGAGCTCATGGGAAACAATGATTTGAAGCGCCAAGTCCCTTGCAAAAAAGTGGCATCATGAGAAATTGCCAATTTCATAAGTTTTAAGAACACCGCAGAGGATGATATGAGCATCCCTCTGTGGTATCCTCTGTTGGACGACTCCTTTCAATTGGTGGGGAGCAGAAACTCAAAGAAGACCAAAAATTTTTAAGTCGAGTTGAAAGCAGAATAGAAAGGGCACACTAATTAGGAGCAAACAGAGCCCTGTTCTCCCCTTCAATATAGCGCCGTAGGTTTCACGCCTGAGTTGCACCAAGCTGCACCGAATATGTTCTTGGTTCACAACTTGTTGCCTTCACTTTTAGTGGTTCTGAGGATGGTCAGAATGACGCTGGTCAGTTTCCTGGGGTGAGTTGCGCCGCCCTGTTACATGTAGCTTTCCGGGAGCATGAGGCCCGACGGAGGGATCTGGGGAGTATTATTCTCTGCTTTACTCCACTCTGCTCTTCACTACTCCACTCCGCTCTACTTTACTTCACTCTCCTGAGTCTCCTCCACTCCACCTACTCCACTCCACTTCACTCCAGTCTACTTTACTAAGTTTACTCCATTCGACTCCACTCGACTCCACTCTACTATACTCCACTCAACTCCACTCCACTCCACTTCACTCCACTCCACTCCACTCCACTCCACTAAGTCTCCACTCTACTCCACTCTACTCTGCTCCACTCTACTCCACTCCACTTCATTCCACTTTACTCCACTCCACTCCACTGTACTGTACTCCACTCAACTATGCTCCACTCAACTCCACTTCACTCCATTCTCCTCCACTCCACTCCATTCCACTCCACTTCACTCCAATCCACTCCACTCCACTCCATTCCACCTCACTCGACTTCATTCCACCCTACTTAGCTCCACTCCACTTCACTCCACTCTACTCTACTCTACTGTACTCTAATCCACTTAACTCTTTCTGGCTCTACTCTACTATACTATATGCTACTCTACTCGACACTACGCTACCGTGACTCTGCTCTACTCTGCTTTACTTTGCTTTACTCTTAGACTACTCGACTCTACTCTACTCTACTTTACTTTGCTTTACTCTTAGACTACTCGACTTTACTCTACTTTACTCTATTCTACTATGCTCTACCCCATTGTGCTCTGCTCTACTCCACTTTAATCTATTACACTTTGATCTTCTCCACACTCCTCCTCTCCACTCTACTCCAGTCCTCTCCACTCCACTCGACTCCACTGCACTTGACTCCACTGCATTTGACTTCACTCCACTTCACTCCAATCCACTCCACTCGCCTCCACTGAGTCACTCCACTCGCCCCCATTCCACTCCACTCTACTCTATTTTGCTCCACTCTATTATGCTCCGCTTCGCTCCACTCCACTTTGCTTCACTCCACTCCACTTCACTTCACTCTGGTCCACTCAATTTCACTCCTCTCCACTCCTCTCCTCTCCACTCCTCTCATGTCCGCTCCTCTCCTCTCCACTCCTTTCCGCTCCTCTCCTCTCCACTCCTTTCCGCTCCTCTCCTCTCCACTCCTTTCCGCTCCTCTCCGCTCCTCTCCACTCCCCTCCCCTCTGCTCTACTCCTCCCCATTCCACTCCATTCCACTCCACTCTACTACACTCCATTGCACTCCACTCCACTCCACTCTACGTCACTCTACTTTGCTTTACTTTACTCATCTCTACTCTGCTCTACTCTATTATACTCTTATGTACTTCATACTGTTGTACTTTATGCTATGATACTCTTATCTTCTCACTCTACTCTACTCTAAACTATTTGTTTTTACTCTTCTTTACGCGATCCTACTCTACACTGCTCTATTGTATTTTATTTTACTATACGATACTCGGCTCTACTATAGTAGTATAGTACATTGTATGATACTCTATTGTACTCGACAATGCGATACTCTACGGTATGATAGTTCAACTTCACGGTACAATATTGTATGCGACGACACTCTACTCGATGCCACTCTATTATTCTATACTCACTCTACGATACTTTACTATACGATACTCTACTCGACAATACTCTATTGTATCAACTTGTATAATAATTTACTCTACAATACTCTACATTAAGCTACTTTACTCTCATGCACTCTATTATGCTCCACTCCATTGTGCTTCACTCCCCTCTGTTCGACTCTACTCAACTTTATTCTACTCTACTCTACGTCGCTCTACTTTGTTCAATGATACTCTGCTCTACTTTACTCTACTCTACTCTACTCTACTCTACTCTACTTTACTCTACTCTACTCTATTCTACTCTACTATACTCTTTATTAATCCACTATGTTCCATGATACTCTTCTCTTTGATATTTTACCTCTATTCTACTTTTCTCTACTCTTCTCTTATCTACACTTCTCTACTCCACTGTACTTTACTTTTCTCTATTTTACCCTGCTCTACATTACAATGTTCTACTTTATTATGTTCTACTCTACGATACTCTATAATTTTTTACTCTACTCTACTCTATTGCACTTTACTCTACTCTGTAGTACTCTAATGTACTTAACTCTAGTTTACTCTACTCTACCCTACGATTCCCTACTCTACTCTACGATACTACACTCTACTTTATTTTATATTCCTTCTTTTTTTTTTTTTTTTTTTTTTTGAAGGACAGCAGTCTTGAGGTATATCCACAGGTGATCGGCCCCGGGTAATTCAAGATTATCATGGAAGTTATTATTGTAGATTATATGTCATGATCATGACGTATTGAATTTCCTTATTGAACTTATATTGAGACAGGTATGTTGAGAGTTCTTTTTGAAGCCTCTGGAAATATCGTGAAATTGAGGGTCTCAACCTTGATAAGCATTGTAATAATGAATGTGAGCTATAATAATTATGCCTGAGAACTTAACCTGAGAGCTTTTTTTATTCGGTGTGTCCTGACCGGCCGCGGTAGGAGTACCTGAGCAGCCACTTCCACTTAGCCCGATGCTCCCTCATTGCAACGGGTTATAGGGCGGCACACCTCGCCCCAGCGAGTTACCGGTGTTGACTAGCCATTGCCACCAATCCTTCTGACGCCACTGAAAGTGACGACAATGGGAATAGAACCCAACACCTACGCGGTGCCGCTCAGGCATGGAAACCTATTGAGCTAGCCGATACTCTACTCTGAGTCTACGATTGTCTACCATACTCTACTAAATACTCTGTATGATGCTGAGCTAGCCGATAGTCTACAATATTCTGCGACTCTGTATAATACTTTACTTTACTTTACGATACCGTATTCTATGACACTCTACTCTATGGTATTATGTGACTCTGTATGATAGGATACTCTACTCTACAATACTGTTATAGTATTTTATAACACTCTACTGTACTATACTGTACTGTATGGTCCTCTACTCCACGATACTCAGCTCTACTTTACTCTACTCTACATGCAATGTAGATCAGAGGCAACGCCACATCAGCATGCAATGTAGATCAGAGGCAACGCCACATCAACATGCAGTGTAGATCAGAGGCAACGCCACATCAGCATGCAATGTAGACAAGAGGCAGCGCCACATCAGCATGCAATGTAGACCAGATGACAACGCCACATCAACAATGTCGGACGCTCAATGCAGAACGCGCCAGCAAGCTGTCACAGTCCACAATGTCGTCCACAGTGCTTGCGCGCAGCCAACGTCTCGCTAGTGTTGTGCCAGCGTTAATGTCAGCGTCTGGTCGAAGTCAAGCCAGAGTCCAAGCAGCACAGTAAGACTGAATGTTGACCACCTCGAAGACAACCTTTAAGTAGCATTTGACGAGGCTATCTGGCCTCGGTTCCCTCCCCACAGTGGTCCAGATTGACTCACACTCGAGGTTATGGATTATGTACAATTTCAGACTTCCCTTTGGACTTTATGTTGTCTGGGTACCTGCAGACAAACAAATGTGCATGCCTGACTGGCGGTCTGGGTTGGGTACCTTTGACTTCGACTATTGGATAGACCGACAATTGACTTGGTCAACTGTATCTCGCCTAGGCCCTTAATTTTTTTATGGGGTGTTTTGCCCCTCTTCAGCCTGGATCTGAGTGCGGCCTGCAACCCTTTGACTTTCCACGAGGCATACAACATGGATTATTGCATTCCTGTCGGCCCAGTTTTCAAGTTTGATCGCAAAATACATCAATCTTATTCAACCCACGTTCATGTGCAGCAACGATGTGTGAAGTAGTAGATAAGAGTTCTTTGTTATTGAACCATCTGGATTTAAATGAAGGTTGGGACTTGAACTTGACTTTATAATGCTTCTGAGGTCTTCCTCTGCCACCTGTAGAAAAATAGCCATGTTCTAGTATTTTTTCAACCTCATATCCTTCATTCATAAAGGGTGGAAACATAAATGGCTTATTAGG